ACTGGAGTCTCTCCAGGGCGGGCTCCAAAGTCCCACGGAGGTGAGCCTCGGTCTTGCTCTGACCTGAGGAAGGCCCCTGACAAGCATCCTGAACATGCAGCCACACAGCTGGCTGACTCATGTGAAGGGACCTGCTGAACCACGAGCCAGGGATGGCTGGAGAGAACTCGACTAACACATGATCCCTGCCCAGGCGCCCACCTGGGGCGTCCACGAGAAAACTACGGAAGCTGTGAAGACGGAGGTGTGCACGGGGCTGGGAGAACACAGGGAGGAGCCGCACTGGGGACCGGGAGGGACAGAGGGCTGGGCCCCACAAGCAAATGAGGGAGTCGCTCAGTGCCATGAAGACCCCAGTGCACCCACAGCTGCAGGCCTGGCTGGCAGCACGACCTTGGCTGCAGGGGCCCAGGACCACGTGTGTTTGGCAGGAGCTGCCCTCCTGGAGCTGCACTATGGGCACCGTCATTTTAGAGGCAGGTACCTGATATCAACGATGACAATCAACCATGCCACCCTGAATTACAGCCGTGTCCTCAGCGGGTCACGTTTACGCTGACAATTACAAAGAGCTTGAACTCGCTGTCCCAAGAGGCAACAAGCCCTTCATTATCACGGCCACAGGTTCCCAGCTGAAGTTTTGCTGTCTCCTCTGTCACCAAAGTCGAGAAGGACTGAGTGGGACCAACGCCGGACCTGCAGTCTCCTCGCTCCTCGGTGGCTGCCGATGTGGCCCTCAGGCTGCGGGTGAGACCGTCTAGGGAAGCTCAGACAGCGGCGGGAATCACAGCCACGGTGCTCCAGGGGCCCCAAAACACAAGCACAGCCTGAGGGAGGCAACGCCCGCTCAGATCCACGTCCAGGCTTGTGTGCCACACTCGAGAGGCACATGGTACCAGAACATGGCGCTTTAAATGGCTTTGTGGGGTGTAGGGGCCTCCAGTGGTTCAGAAGTCACTCCCACCAGCCCGCGGGGACCCAGGCGGCCCCTCTGGACGCGACTGGAGTCTCTCCAGGGCGGGCTCCAAAGTCCCACGGAGGTGAGCCTCGGTCTTGCTCTGACCTGAGGAAGGCCCCTGACAAGCATCCTGAACATGCAGCCACACAGCTGGCTGACTCATGTGAAGGGACCTGCTGAACCACGAGCCAGGGATGGCTGGAGAGAACTCGACTAACACATGATCCCTGCCCAGGCGCCCACCTGGGGCGTCCACGAGAAAACTACGGAAGCTGTGAAGACGGAGGTGTGCACGGGGCTGGGAGAACACAGGGAGGAGCCGCACTGGGGACCGGGAGGGACAGAGGGCTGGGCCCCACAAGCAAATGAGGGAGTCGCTCAGTGCCATGAAGACCCCAGTGCACCCACAGCTGCAGGCCTGGCTGGCAGCACGACCTTGGCTGCAGGGGCCCAGGACCACGTGTGTTTGGCAGGAGCTGCCCTCCTGGAGCTGCACTATGGGCACCGTCATTTTAGAGGCAGGTACCTGATATCAACGATGACAATCAACCATGCCACCCTGAATTACAGCCGTGTCCTCAGCGGGTCACGTTTACGCTGACAATTACAAAGAGCTTGAACTCGCTGTCCCAAGAGGCAACAAGCCCTTCATTATCACGGCCACAAGCCTCTGTGCGGCCCTCCTCTCCGGCGGCTTCCCGTCGGGGCAAGGTGAAGTCCCATGACAGTGACTCAAGAGCCAGTCCAGTAGCTTCAGTGCAGGAAAAATCACAAAAACTCAAACACATCCTAAACGTGGGCAGTTGGTAGGAGCCGATTCCTAAATTAAAAATTAAACCTGTTGGGAGGCTTTCTGGGCTAGCACAACTCTGATCACAGGCTTGTGCTTTCTGCTCCCCATGAAGGGCGGCGAGGAGGCTGGGCTCTGCCATTCTGCAGGCTCCGCTATGTGGAGTCCACCCTATGGCCTCGGTGGCCCGTGCCAGACAGTGTGACCGTCGCCCGCAGTGAACACTCAGCACAGCAGAGCAGGCTTGGGGAAGAACAGAAAGAGACCTCTAAGCCTGCAGAAGTCGCTAAGCCAGGCACGGCCTCACATGCACTGCGTGTCAATCACGGCCTAAGCAAGAATCAGCTCTTAATAGTTCCAGTAAATGCAAAGACCGCCCTGGAAAACTGCCTGAACCTTTCTGACTACTCACAGGTGAGGAGCCACTGCCTGACACACAAAGGTAAAGAATTAACCTGAAACTGCATATTATAAAACTTATTTTTAAATGAGGGTACTTAATTTAAAAGACTCCCAAAGAATACTGCATTAGAAAGTGACAGAGTGAAACTATGATGTTGACTACAGGAGTGCCTGGAAATTTCACCAAATGTTGTGTCAAAACTGGGAAACAGAAGAACCACACCTGATGAAACATTCGATTAATCACTCGAGTCCTCCCCACATAGGAAGTTATGTTAAAAAGTGTTCCCAGAAGGTAAAGTGAGCAGGAGGACTGTGAACACACAAAGAAAGAGCCACTTCATCCACGACCACGACAAAAGAAACGCTAATGAGTGCCAACGACACGCTGGAGTCCAGGACTCCGGGCGCAGCTGTGATGGGGACACTCAGGGTCCCACTGTCCAGATGGGAAACCACGGTGGAAACACCAGGGAACCTGTCCCAGGGTGCGGAGCCAGTGAACGGTGGTTCATACTGGGCCAATCCCTGCTGCCAGGCTCTGGGACTCCTGGGGACAGAATCCTGTTGACTTCACTCTGGGGTGCCAGAGGTGGCAGCATCCCCCAAAGGCACCTGGAGAAGTGGTGTTACCCTCCATCCCCTGTCCCCGGCGTTACCCTCCATCCCCTGTCCCCAGTGTTGCTCACCATCCTCCTCACCTCCAGGCCCCTCTCCCTGTCCTCCCTCATTTTCCTGTTCACCCAGAGCATATCACATCACTCTTACCTTTTCAAGAGGCTCAACTGCACCCAGAGGCATTCCAGCCTATTCGGGACGGGACATACACCCTGAGGAAATGCCAGCACAGGGCCGGAAGGGCCTGAGACCCTCTCACTGTCACCCAGGAAGGATGGAACAGCCTATAGTCACGCTGCTTGTCAAGCAGGATGAAAACATCTGTGTCCAAAATATTCTTTTCACTACAACTGTTCAGACCATTCGTGAATGAATCAGTTAAATACCAACAAGGGCCATTCCCACTTATTCTCTGGCTACAGTTTTTCACCCATCAGCAACCACACTCCTGGGACCTATCCCTAACGAAGTATCAGTGCCTTGTGCCTTTTAGGAAAACCTCTTTCTCTCCAGCTTTGTCCTCCTTCCACAAAAGGTGCCTCTGACTGCCTCACTCGCCGTACCAGGATTTCACT